TGGTATCAATCCGGTCGAGCTGGCCCATTCGTGCCGAAGCATGGCTCCGCCCACACTTAGTCCTTCTCCTTTCCTTTATGTCATATTATGTCTTCAAGTTCCAAGTTACAGTACTCACTATGCAATTTTTATAAGAATCTTAAAACCAAATAACTTAACGGAACATCCCTGACTTAGGAATCGATAATAAGACCTTGGCAGGCACACTTTTTACCCCTGAAATTAATCAACAAAGTATAGTATTAAATAGGTTGTTTTTCGGCACGAGCGCTCACATTATCCCTCATTATCAGGTGAATTAGAAACTAAACCTGTAGTGAACTTAAAAAAAAATTGACACATTGACATACTTATGAATACTGAAACGTTACTCAATTTTAAGTCGTGCTCAAATATCGTGCCATCTCTGTCATTTTACAAAGAATTTGTAGAGATAAGAAGATAAGAACTATACTTAAGCATGACTTAAAATTGAGTAGCGTTTCAGTATTCCGACATTAATTTTTTATTTACCTGTGACTAAACATATCATTGAAGAAGAATGCATTCTTCTAAAACAATAGGACTGATGACTATCTGCAGCTCCATTCATGATCTGCCAACACTAATCGATTACCTTGATCGATTTACTCGATTTTTGCTCATTCGATTACACATGTGCTATTAGACTTACATAATTCGATTCGTTAGAATGTAATCGCTGAACTTAAGCGGTTATGCTAGACTTTAGGCAATAATCTAGACTAATTTTGCCCGTTAATGATTGTGATTAGGTATCGATGTGTAGAGGTAGATGATTAAGAGGTAATTATGACGTGTATTGGCTAACAAAAAATATACATAATTATGATATAACATAACATAACATCACGCCTTTTTATCCCTGAAGGGGTAGGCAGAGGTGCACATTTAGGCACTTAATGCCTCTTTACAATGTAACACCCACTTTTCAAGATATATTTTATGAGTCCCATGTAATAGGAAGTGAGTCTATTGTCATATACCGAGTACATTTCCAGACACCGTTCTACTACTAAGTTTTTAAAAACCCAGTAATACTTTGCCCGAGCCGGGAATCGAACTCGAGACCCCTTCCCCGGCAGTCGCACTTGCGACCACTCGGCCAACGACGCAGTCAGGCAGTCAGAGCAATTATGATATAACATATTCATATTTATTCTCCGGAGGATAAGCAGGCTAGCGCCTACTTCTCAACAGTTATGTTGTGAGTTCCACTAATAGATCTCCAGAGGTGCCTATTGATATAAACCCAGCACTTAATTAGAAAGAAAGAAATAAAAATCGTTTATTACATTATGACACATATGCAGACACAATATAAGAACACATAAAAAGAATATCAATGGTGCCTCGCAGCGCAAAAGTTACTGAAAAATCCAGAAATTAAACTCGAGCCTTCAATATGCAACCTCTAGACCAAAGGTTATGTCGCGGAGAACCTAACGGGTAACCGGGGTTTCGGTTCGACGTGCAGGAGAAGGAACGGGGTGGTTTTTAGTCAGTAAGAGTCTGACACTCCCTCCCGCCTCGCCCAGGCGGGAGCAGTCATTCGATGATTTTCGCCCCTTAAACAAAAAATATCAAAGGTTATAAGTTCAAAATGCATTTCATTTGTCAAATTTTGACAGTGTAACAATAATGAATGCCTTAATAACAATGGATCGGTGACTAATCTGTGATCCACGCAGCTTCCAACATGGCTCCTCTAATAAACCTGTAATTGTGTCCTTGTGAAGCGTATTGAGTTTGTTCCGTTATGATCTTTGTGGTATGTGCCTAGTAATTAATCTAGTGTAATAAAGTTGAGTTGTGTATTTGTTGGTTTGCTGGATAAGACAGAATTATTTATTTAATTTTATTTTATTTATTTTCAGCCCTGATCGTTCCACTGCAGACCAAAGACCTCCTTCCATCAGCTTTCGTGTAAATCTCTTTGCGGCCAATCCTTGTCATAGATGTCCAGTTCATCTCACCAACTCCTTTTGGGTCTGCCGCGACGTCTATTGACGTTAAGCAAGCTCCACTCACTCATTCCATTAATATTGATTTTTTAATTAAAAAAAATCAATTGAAAAACTGTAATATTATAACAAACCACGATAGTATACAAGCAATAGCAATTAAACCATAAACGCGCCGCACTTCAGTGTTTCGATGTTTTCATGGATGTATCTCCTGTAGATCCTGGCTTACAGGAGTTGCAGCCGTTATGGGAGGTTATTGCGGGCTTGTGCCTTAAAAAAAGCAAATACCTACACCATACAAACATGATCAACCACGCATCACATGAATAGCGTTTCTACAATACTAGTGCTTAGACCTGTTTTATGCTGCGCAGGCAGCTTAACAGTTATTTTTTAATTCATAGTGGGTTCTTATATGGTCCTTAAAACTTGGAGTAATTTGTGCATCATTATAGATTGCCTGTGGTTTAATGAGTTTAATAAGTAATTTTTAGTACTGTGTTGACATGTTTCTACTATCTGTTACTAATCGTGGAAACCAGTAATTGGCTTTTTGTTGCATACCACATTCTATTTGATCAAATTTTATAGCTGTTGGTTTTCCAAATGTATAAAAAAATAAATAAATATTAATGCTGGTAGCTGAAAATACTACTCGTTTAAAAACAAAGAACAGCTTTACGATATCACATAATAAAAATCGGAGTCCACTTACTTTAAAAGTAATCGCATTAAACCATAACTAAATACGTAGATATAATAACGAGCGGCCATATTTAACTACACTATTACAACTATTACCAAATGTTACGCTTCAAATAAATCAACTTCGTTGTATTTTTGCGGCGTAACAGATATTATGTCGAGGTCATATTAAAGTGTGAATGTCAGTGGGTCACAGTTGGTAAAGTTCTTCATTGAATCTTTGTTGAGAAAAGTCTCCAGTCTCCTAGCCTTTTAATTTTGGGCTTATATTGGATTCCAGGGTTGTATTTGGGTCTTAGTGGTTAGCCTTTCTACTAAGTGGACTGACGATATCATCAAATTCACGTCATATTACTAATGGATTCACGTTCAGCGTGGTGGACTATGGTACGTGATCAGTAATGGATATCTTTTGGGTGAGTGGCGATAAAGTTTTAATTAGGTTCGGCTGAATGTAAGTATTTTATAATGTGAGTGGCTGATATTGACCACTCAGTGTCCTGTACGTAAGGTTTTCATTTCACTACATACTTTTTTACGTTTTCGCCTAGTTCCAATAATAGGCTAGTTTCCTAGGTTTAACTCGTCGAGTACCGGTTTTGTAGACACAATTATAGAACAATAGGTTGCGGTCACCGGTGACCGCTTGGTGTTTGACAGTTTAAAATAAATTGTTTCAACCTTTCGATGCAATAAATAATTAAAAAATAATCATATTCTCATCCATTGATTTGACAATTTACCTACCAACTTTTGGATTTTTTTCTCGTTAATTTTAAGGAAATAAGTAGGTATGCTATTTGACGCAGAAATATGATGACGTCATAAGTTGCGATCCAATACAAAATTCATAGAAAAGTATAGTTTTTGACATTTCAATAAAAGTATTGAATTTGACTACCTATCAACTACCGTATTATAGATATTAGCATAGGTATTATGTTGGATCATAGTAGAACATATCTAAGAAAAGATGCAACGGGATCGCGTAGGTTGTAATTGTGCCTAATAGAGTTACGTCATAGGTAATGTTGTGTTTTAGTAATGTTGTTTTTCAGTGGGTATTGAAAGGTGGGATCTTTTTTCGGATAAATGTAAGGTGAGTGCCGAAGGTGGTATTGAATAAGAAACAATTAGAAATGTAACAGAAATTATTAATCTTTCTAATGAGCAAATGATGAGGAAAATCACACAAAAAGAAAAGTTATGATTTTTCAATTACCTAAAGTGTCGCAACATATTAAGTTTGATCATTATTAATTTTTTTGAAAAGAACGACAATTAAGAATCAGCAAACAATTCCATTGACACTGATAGTTTTCCCAACACGCAAATGGACACTTAAAGTCCCTACTTACAACCATACACTCAACAACGAGGCTGTCATCACAACACCTTTAATGGCAGATCTGATGACCCAACTCACATACCTCTCTATCCCCAAGGTTATTGAAGATAGGCAATAAATTCTGCTGAGCCTAATTCTTAGAAAATAACTGAAAGTGATTGTATCACAATGTACAAGTTACAACATGTCTCTGTTTCAAAGGATGTAGTTTATTATTATCTGTAAGGCGTTAATTTTATTGAGTTTAGCAATGCTTTGATAAATATCTACGGTATTGTACAAAATGGTATTGATTTGACTGCCGCGTTGGCCGAGTGGTGGCAAGTGTGACTGCCGGGCAAGGGGTCTCGGGTTCAATTCCCAGGTCGGGCAAAGTATTACTAGGTTTTTAAATCTCAGTAGTAGCACGGAGTCTGGAAATGTGCCAGTATATGGCAATAGGCTCACCCCCTATTACATGGGACTCATAACATAAATAGTGAAAAGTGGGTGTTATATTGTCCAGTGGCATAATGTGCACCTCTGCCTACCCCTTTGGGGATAAAAAGCGTGATGTTATGTTATGTGGTATTGATTTACAACAACACTATTTTTATTCCCGCAAAATTTACCGCGTAGTCTTGTTTTATCTAATGGGAGCACTTAACCAGGAAATTCTATCACCTAAGTCAGCGCATACCCTGCCTGCATACCAAACTTCATCAAAACACGTTCAGTAGTTTCAGCGTGATTGACGGACAAACATACAAAGAAAGAAACTTTCACATTTATAATATTAGCAAGATTCACAATTACCTAAACCGGGAATTAAACTCAGTCCAGGCTGCCAGTGCTAGCAATTTGGCTTATGCTCACTCAAAGACGATAAATAAAAATAAAGGGTAGAACATAAAGAATAACCACTTCAATATCAATAAAAAATATTTATTACAAAACAAAGTAAAAACATAACAATATAATTTAGACATTCAATATTTAACTACGCAGTACCTACGATACCAAATTGACTATTACTAGGTTTTAAATATTAGTCACGGATCGAAATGTCAGCCATTTTAAACGCAAAAAGTTCTGGCATCGGTATTGCGAATCCATTGACTAGGTTTTAGTAACAAATTTTGAAATAGGCAACAAAAATCAATCATCGTTTTGTAACGTCTACATTGCCGTTTTTATATGTAAAACAGTAACTGCACCATTAAATAAACCTTCAACTGATGCAAATTATGTAACAAGTCCTAATATTTAATAACGTCTTCTCGCCGCCATGACAGTTTGACATTGACATGTGTCGAGCCGCCATTATGGTAGCCATGATTGACGTTTGACGAATCACTTTTTGGTAATCTTTTGATTATGTTGCCACAATTGATTGATAATTTTACTTGTAATGCCATATCATATATGTCATTACATTGCAGATTAACAAGAATATTATTTTATTGAGAGCTTCATGTCAATGTTTGTTTTTCTCAATATTGATTTTTATGCGGGAATGATTTATGCCTACGAAATTGTAAACTTTAATCGTGGAAATGATTCTAGAGTTGTATAGACTATTGTTCATCATGTTCATACTATTCTTATTTACAAATTATTCGCTACCATCTTTCGATGAGACATTTTTAATGATGGTACGCCAATTCAGGAATGGAAGCATGACCTGAATGAGCATTGCCAGCATATCCCTGATACATCATTTGAGAGCCTGATGCATGACCCGCGGGGACTTGGTACGCCAACTGGGCACCAGATGCATGCCCTGATGGTACATGGAAAGCCAATTGGGCACCAGAACTGTGTCCTGAAGGAAGATGGAAAGCTAGTTGCCCTCCTGACGATTGAGCTGCTTGAGCATGGTACGCTAATTGAGGGTTTGGCCTGTGAACCGGGGCGCTGTATGATGCTTGAGTACCAGACGCATGGCCTGAAGGAACATGGAACGCTAACTGGATGCCATGACTTGCAGGAGTCTGATGTCCCACTTGGGCGCCAGAAGAATGACCTTGAAGACCGTCGCCGGAGAGTGCATTGGCTGCATGAGCGTGGTACGCTAAGTCAGCACCAGAAAGATGGTTAGATTGACCATGGAACGCTAAGTTAACGCCTGATCCATGTCCTGATGGGGCTTGGTAGCCAACGGATTGGTAACTGGCTTCATGCTGCTGGTGACCATTGGCCAGCCCGTGGCCAGATTGCTCCTTGTATTTTCCTGGAATGAAAAAAGTTGAGTTAGTTAATTTCTGATAATCCATAAATCTTTTAGTCTAACACTTAACAGTTGTTTAGCATTCACGTAGTCATTTTCGTAATTATATTTTTTTTGAGTCAAAACATCGCACTAATGTTTTTGTACACTAAATATTTATTAACAATCAAGTCAACACTACACATAAGTTTGCATTCTCCGTTCATTCAAAAGCTCTACATTCATCGATCAACGTGTTAGTGGTTCGATTTGTACAACATAGATGGCGTTACTAATGAATGACATTATTTTAAGCTACCTCTTTGGCCGAGTGGTCGAAATGGCAAATGCTGGGCAAGGGGTCTCGAGTTTAATTCCCGGGTCGGGCAAAGTATTTTTGGTTATTTTTAGAAAATCTCATTAATAGTACGGAGTCTGGAATTGTGCCCGGTATATGGCAATAGACTCACCCCCTATTACATGGGACTCATAACATAAATAGTGAAAACTGGGTGTTACATTGTACAATGTCATGATGTGCAACTCTGCCTGCACCTTCGGGGATAAAAGGCGTGATGTTATGTATATGATGTTATATTTTAAGCTGTTAACATGTCAAGGAATGTACAATATTTTTATTTTTTATAATAACTATCGTGAGACATACTAAATTATTAAACGCTCACTCTGCGTGAGCTGCGCGACGTCGCCGCGACCGCCCACGCTGCTCATGAGGAAGAACCGCTCTGTGGTTCGAAACTAGTAGAGCTTTTCTCAGTATATTCACGTGAGTAACCCGCGTTTTTACTTAATATTTTTATTTCTTCAGGGACGTATTACTTGTGATACCTACTTCTTTCGATCACTTAAGAAATAATACCTTTTACCGTCTATAAACATTTTAAAAACTGCACTAATATAGAGGTATTTTCATGCTGTTTTATAATTACAATCATTACACGTACCGTCATCAAAAATTCCAGCGGCTTCATCCTTAGCGTTCTGCTCCAAGCTCTTCAGGATTTCTTCAGGCACTGGTGGTGGTGTGGGAAGGTGCTCTCCTTGAGGGTGGAAACCATGCTCATCAGCTGTGTAGGTGACAGTGTAGGTCTGGCCATCATCACCTTTGTAGGAGTAGGCGCCGTGGGCTACGGTACCATGTTCTGAAGTTTGACCTGCTTCCTCGGCTCTGATTCCTGGAATTTTCGGAAGATGGGTTATAAGAGAGTGTATTTTATTTAAGATGTTTAAATTGTATTGATTGATAGAAAATTTGAGAAAAATACTTAAAGTATAGTTGCAAGTAGGATTGATAAGCTATGAGCCTCGTCTGTCTATTCGATACCCGAGTCGAATAAAATGTGATAACATTTTTCAATAATTAATTTATTTAAAATGTAAAGGTATATCGGATAGTTTGTTTCATTTTAGCAAATACTTGGCGAGAAATTACTTTAATATAATTGTTATATAAGTAATTTAGAATTCACACTAATTACTACATTATGAAGTAACGATAATAACTTTCTCACTTAATTAAGTAAAAACGCGGGTTACTCACGTGAATATACTGAACGTATACGTCGCGCAGCTCACAGACGTCGCCGCGACCGAGCACGCATGAGGAAGAACCCCTCTGTGATTCGAAACTAGTAGAGCTTTTCTCAGTATATTCACGTGAGTAACCCGCGTTTTTACTTAATTTAGTATGTCTCACGATAGTTATTATAAAAACACAACTTTCTCACTAACCATTTTCAGTCTCATAAGAATATTTGTATTCGTGTCCATTGTTCTCCACTTCGAAGCCCAGGATCCTGGCAGTCTTCTCCCCAGCTGGTCTGCTGGAGTGCGCTGTAGCTTCATGACTGAAGCTCTGCGGCGCCTGTGAGTGGTCAGAATACAAGCCGCGTTGCTGATACTCGAGCGCTGACTGGTATTGTTCGGCTGACTGCGCGTATTTCTCCGCTGATTGGCCAGAGTAGATTTGGCCGGCTGATGCGGCGGCGATGAGGGCGGCGATTGGGGCGATCTGGAACATGTGGAAGTAAATATTTAAAAAAGAAATTGATTACGCTTTCAGAGTCGGTACATACATTAAACGATGGAAAGCTTTCATTTTAATCAAGACATTTCAAACAAAATAGTTTTCTCCTCAAAATACTAATTGATAGAGTAAGGCATTTCATCACCCATAAACACTTGGTTAAAACAACGATAAATCTTTATATTTTACAACACAATTTTTTTATGAATCAGCACTATAAATAGAAAAAATTCACATGATACCAAGAAAAGTAAAAAAACAAAGTGAAAGAAAACTTAAAGGACAACCCTTGAAGACGAAAACAAAAAAGGTTTATTGAGCCTTTCTTTCAAAAAACCAATTCACAACTTCAAATCACCGAATGTAACATTCACTATTAATTTTAAATTCTAAATCTAGTTCTAGACACTTAATTAAAAGATGTAAATCTAATTAAACTGTTTATTTACCAGCTTCATGGTGCTAAGATTAAAACTGGAGTGTGAGAGAGTTGGACAACGAATGACTTTGTAATTTCTTACTTACGTTTATATAGCAAAAAATTTCCTAGTACGCATAGATGTATGAACTCATACTTGTGATAGAAATGCCTGTATAAGGTTTGGACTTGAGACATTATTTTATTTAGAGGTTATAATTTAATTTGCTGAAGAACCAAGTAAACTCTGTTTCCATCAAAAAGGAAAAAGAAATATTTTTTTCTTGAAAAGTTCCCAAATCCTGAATCCAAATTGAAACTGCAATTTTCCGAACATTATTAGAATTATGTATTTATTTATAGGTTTTCTGTTGTTACACCAAGTCGATTAAACATTTTACATTATTTATAAAAACAAAATAATATTTTATTCCTCGGAGTGTAATTGGAAAGATAAGACTCATATTAAATATAATAATGTGTCGCACAGTTACTTTTAATAATCCCATGTATAATAAACAAACAACTTCTATGAACATTAATTAATACCTTAAAAGCGGTTTATGAATTTCTAAATTCAAATTTGCTACTGGTTTTTTCAATTGAAATATTAAATCCATGCTTCCTCGACCGAAAATTCTTAAAAAATACATGCACAGCAACAAAGAAAACAAATGTCTTAACTCCCTACTTACAGCAGTCACATCGGCATCTGATTCAAGTACGAGAGTATTGTTAGGTAACAGTAGTAACGAGATGCGCCCGCCGGCTGAACAACTGGAGCACAACCATAGAACTGAGAATGTATAGAAGTGGTCGTGTGTTGATGCGTCAAACTGGTTGTGGAATGCGTGGTGAGCAGTATGATAGAAGAAACTAGTTATAGGATATACTGGATCAAACTAGTTATAGCTAGTTACTATTATAATAGAAGGTTTTGTTACACAAAAATTTCGTGATTGATTTAATTTTGATTTTGGATTTATCACATAAACTATGTGAGTCTGTCTTATTTTGGGTTTTTTTTTTGGGTTATCTTACTGTTCATCATTTGTTGTTCTAATTTGGAAGTCCACCACACGATTTCAGTAGATAATAAAAACAATGTGCTAAGCTGCGATTGATCTAATCCAAATAAAAGTTTCAAATTAAAACAGAACAAATCTTTTTAGAAAATCCGTTTTTATTTGTTTTCCAATTTGTCATAAGAAGCATTGATAACAATCCTAAACCGTCTTTAAATACAATTTTCGATTTATTTAATTTTGAACTCAACAGTTAAAATTAAACAAATCAAATGTAAACTCTACAACATTCCTAACTCTACACCGACTAAGCAACAAAATGACTCGCGCGCAGTGTCCAAACAGTCGATAGTATTAGTATCAATAATAACTGATATACAATAGTCAAGTATCAATCAAGTTACATAACTAAATATAACTTAACTGTAACTTCACACCAAGTTGGTAATGATTGACAACTAGATCACTAGGCCAAGCACATTCCAAACGTTGACGATAACAAACTATTATTTTAAGAACATACTGTAGCTAATGAGATTACTAAATCATGGTGTTGATTTGTTGTGTCAATAGCTTTGAGTAATTTTAGTGTATTTTCTTAGTTTGGCGTTTTGTTCTGTCCTGTTTTAGTACTTTTTTTAGGATTAAGCCGGCTCGATGTTTTGTTTCGTCGTGTGAGTGAGGTTACCGGGGGCTCAATATCGAACAATCCTTAAATTCCTTAATCCCCAAAAGGCTGGGAAAGCATTTGTAATGCTTCTGGTGTTACGGGTGCCGCATAGGCAACGCCGATTGCTTACCATCAGGTGATATGTCTGCTCGTTTACCGACTTATCCTTAAAACATGTATTTATTTACTATTGTTTATGTTGTATTTGGTTAGTTAGTTAGTTGGTTTAAGTTCATTGACGTGGTGTAGGATAATCATAATATATTTAGGTGTGTATAAAATGGTTTAATGATGAAGATGTTTGAAATAAATCACTGTATTAAACTGTCAAACACCAAGCGGTCACCGGTGACCGCAACCTATTGTTCTATAATTGTCGCGGAGAACCTAACGGGTAACCGGGGCTCCGGCTTGACGTGCAGGAGAAGGAACGGGGTGGTTTTTAGTCAGTAAGAGTCTGACACTCCCTCCCGCCTCACCCAGGCGGGAGCAGTTATTCGATGATTTTCCCCCCTTAAAAAAAAAAAATTGTTCTATAATTGTGTCTATAATGACGGTACTCAACGAGTTAATTTAATGGCGGGTCATCAGCATTTCATCTGTGACGTCACACGTTTTTGCAAAGGACCTACTAAAGGTGTTGTACCGTGGAGTGGTTAACTGAACGATGGAGCTGACGGGGTAAATATTTACTTCCCATGGGCTTAGTCACACCACAAAGTGAGAAACAATTGGGTACTTGGCAACTAGTCAAATTCAATACTTTTTTTGGAACTGTCAAAAACGACAGTTTTCTATGAATTTTGTACCTCTACGTTCGAGATTGTGTATTGTGTAGTTACGTTTTTTAGCATCAAACAGCAATTTATTTCTTGAAAAATCCTACAATTAAGTTGATCATAAGCAATTAATGAAAGTGTGATTGTTTTTTAATATTTCATTGTTTTGAACAGTCGAAATAATTCACTTATGATTAAGGAAAGTAGGTACCCAATTACTCTGAGAGTTTAGTAAATATTTGAAAATCTTAGGGACTACTCCCTACAAAAAGATTATAAAATGAATCGATTAGGTTTGAATTTCCAAGCCGTTGGACTGTTTCAATCTCGATCAGAATTTTAATTATTCACGATTGCTTCAACGGAAAGGAACTAAATGAAACTTTCAAAACATACGTCAATTATAAACAGATCAAGATTCGAACATTAGATAACTCTAATCAACCGATTGAAACAATAGTTTATAATGAGATGTTACATAAAGTAATTCAGTTTGTAACATTTGCCAATTAGATTTGATCCAGAATCTTATTATGCATCTACTAGTTTCACCCTGACTGCCTCGTTGGCCGAGTGGTCGCAAGTGCGACTGCCGGGCTAGGGGTCTCGGGTTTGATTCCCGAGTCAGGCAAAGTATTACTGGGTTTTTTAAGAAAATTCAATAGTAGCACGAAGTCTGAAATTGTGCCCGGTATATAGTAATAGGCTCACCCCCTATTACATGGGACTCATAACTTAAATACCTCTAGTGAAAAGTGGGTGTCAAAAGTGGGTGCCGTAATGAGCACCTCAGTCTAACCCTTCGGGGGTAAAAGGCGTTATGTTATTATGATAGTTTCACCCTGTGGATACACCCACATTTCCAAGATGTGATCCAGATGAGATACATAATACACTAGCGTCTGCCACCGACTTTAGGCGCGGTCCAGTCGAATAAGAGTAATTAAATTTGTAACTGTTCCAAATTTCAACCCGATCCTAGTCGTTTTGACGTGAAGCAGTAAGAAACAAAACAAAATAATACATATAAACTGTGTTTTTATAATAATTATCGTTAGACATAGAGAATATACTGAGAAAAGCTTTACTAGTTTCGAACCACAGAGGGGTTCTTCCTCATGAGCAGCGTGCGCGGTCGCGGCGATGTCGCGCACCCTTTTCGCCTCTTTTCTTTTTTATAAATCTACAAGCTTAGGTGCTATGTGGGCTTTGACGTTATTAGAATAGCTTTGTAGATTTATCTTGTAAAATGTCCCACTGCTATTCAAGGGATCGTACACCGTAAAAATGTACGAGCTCTCTCTGTATGCGTCGCTAGTTCTAGCAAATTAATTCGTATGGCGCATCAAAATCTTATCTTCCCAAAATCTTTTTCCTGTATCTCCTAAGCAATAACAGAAGTGCACACTTCTTTTGTCACGACCTGGTTTTCAATTTGAAATACGTTTAGTACGGTTGACGGTCATCGCAGGAATGGTCACCCTGGCAGACGCCTTGTCGCACGAAATCGCACCGCTGTAATTCCCATCACAATTTTCTGTACCTACGGTATCAGTTTTGTGTACCTACGAGCTCTAAAACCTTCTTCTTACACGGAAAAGGAACATGCAATAGTTATTTAAATAATTATGTTCAGACCTAACAGAGACCTTATTACGAGTTTGTTTTACGCTTACAGTAATTGTAACGAGTTCGCGTTCGGCGCTCTAATTGGTTGGTTCAATGGCGCCGGCCAATCAGATTGCCAAACGCGTACTCGTTTCGAATACTTTAAATAAGGCCTCAGAGGTAGATAACAGATGAAATAAAACATAGGCTACTTTTTATACCACGATAGCGCGGGCAAAGCAGCTGGCAAATACTGGTGTTTGTTACATGTATTTCCAGCCAGTATATCAAAGAGAACAACCTCCATTGTATAATATAGATCTCTATTAAGAAATTTCATACCTAGTTATAGTTCAAAATCTAGTTACTGTAATAATAAATTATATACATGATTAGTATTAGCTAATGTAATTATTATATTGTAATATCTTATATAACGACTATATAACATATAATGATAATGAAATAGGGTTATGATTTGGTGTTTATGTAATAATTTGAATCGAATACAGAGAGCTAATCGATATTATGTCTATTAATTATATCTAATTGTATCGAGAGAAATGTATGTGTGGTATTAGACAGTATGTTGGGCGTGGATGTTGGATGATTGAAGTGTTTTGCTATGTGTAGTTTCGTTTTTGGTTCAAGTTTGAAACGTCGGTCGTCTGTCAATGAAGATGCGTAATTGGACGTATCATTTTTTTTTATATTTGATGGGTCGACGATTGACCACTATCTCACCTGGTCGTAAGCGATGATGCGTTCTACGGTGGACGTCGTCCCATAAGCAACCTATTCAATCGGGCCTTGAAGACACCCAGGTTATATATACCCTTCAGGAAATAAAGACTCTGGCAAAGAATTCCACTTGATGCGAAGCGCTTTTTGAATGGAGATTTAAATTTGAAAGGGAATTTATAGATCAACGTGGTTGTTTTTTTTATAAAACATTGCCCCAGATTAGGATTTTCTCCTGTGTCGTGGG